CCGACTCAAGACGCTAGGGAAGTCTTGAGTCATTTTTCTGGGAAAAATTTGAGTTAGCTGTTGGTAGCCTTTTAAAATAAACAAAATATATGAAGAACAAGATAGTTTGGTCTCTCTTTTGGTCGCAGTCGCTTCGATGCATAGAACTGGTCTGGCGTGGCTTTCGCAACTTGATAGTGTTGCCAGGGCGACCTCAAAGAGGGCCACTTGTTCGAGGTCTACTTCCAGAGTAGACATGAGAATTTTCTGCGTCGGACCGCAAACTTGGTGGATTCCCAGACCTGCGCCCATCATTGAGGTCGGCAAGCTACAAATTGTCAAACAGACTACTCTGGAAATGTACCATATCCACGATCCGATGCTTGAAATTATCGTGATCACTCTGACAGGGGACTTCGGATAATGTGTCGCTGGGACAACACGATCAATGGGTGAAAGCGAGATCAACCCAATTCTAACTAAATAAAGTTAATAATAGGCAACATTTGCAAATTACTTACTTCTTGTCGTTTAGGGCGCTATATCTGCACAATCTTGGCCGAGCTCAGAGCAGAAGTTGCTCACTAGCCTGGTCCAATATCACCTGCTCACCGGCCACTCGACGGGTCTCGAGCCCGCCCGGGCATCAGAAGCGTTCACAATCGGTGCTCTGATGGATCCGCTTAGTTTTGATCGAAGTCCCCTTGACTCGGCAGTCGGTGATCCTCTAATCGAGAACGAACTGCTATCCACCGGCTCGGCAGATCGGCTGACCAGTTCCTTGCCTTCCAGTTCGCCATTGTTGCTAAGCATGTTGCCGACATCAACGCCAACACAAACTGCAAATCCATCGTGTGGACTAACCCTCTCGGCAACAACAGCGCTGGACTTGCTTCATCAATTTCACCAACAAATGCAAAAACAAATGAACTCTCCCGGGTTTCCGTCCTCGCTTCAATCGACCACACTGCCCTCTTATCCCTCGGTTCTGCCGCCGTCAGTGCCGTTTCCACGGGCAGCCTCACCTCCGCTTTCGGCCTCCAACCCTCTGCTGGATCACTTTAATCCATCTTCAATTTCCGTAGCCCGAACAACATCAGGTCTACACATCCTTACGCCCCACCCGACGAATCTCCTACCACAGCCAAGCCTGGCTACTGTCGGTCCATGTCTGCCCTTCTCGCCCGATGCCCAGACGTACATCGGGCGAAATTCTACAAAATTCCATGACCTTCTGCCTCAAAAGTCCGCATCCTTACTGCCCCAGCAACTAAATGCTGGGCTATTCGAACCCGGTCACCTGGAGACTGACTTCAGCAAAAGTCTGCAGTCAGTTGCTGACAGTCTGTCTTGTAAGTCTGTCTCCAGCACAGCCAGTCCGATGCCCACCAACACTGAGGCCTTTGAATGCCAGTCGACTTTTGCCAGTCTCCTGACATGTGATACATTTTTGCCCGGCCGTCAAGGCCGGTTTCTGGACGTTTCAGTCGATGAAACAGACAAACTGTCCATCCCGCAGGAGGCTGGTGTCAGCCTCGAGACGTCTGCCAGCACGTCGCACTGGATGCCCCAGAACCCGGCGGCTCCACAGGGTTGCGATGGGATGGACTTGCCGAACGAGGGAGTCTATGACCTCAGTGTCGGGCTTGATCGGTCCGTTGGGCAAGTTGGGGCGCCATCGTCCATGGTGAGAGATGAAACGGACAAACATGCCGGACGACGCCTCAGACAGACCTCGAACAACCTAGCGAAACCTATCGAACTGCCGAGCAGAATGAAGCGACTTCTGCGTGTCCGCATACCCTCGTCTTCGGGCTCCGAAAAACCGACCATCTTGTCAAATAGCTCGGCTGGTGGGCGACAGACAGGTGAGTTAAGGTTACCGGTTAATCATTCTGCCAATATATAGATTTTGACAAATAATTAATATTTCTTCAAAAACTAACTCTGTCCTTCATTGCTTTACGTGACATGGTATATTAGTTTGAAATCTACTCAATAGGAATATAAGTAGCATGATCTATTCCAATTGCAAATACAATTTGTCTACATCTATAACCATACCATGGAAAGGGATTGGAAAAGGCCTAGATTTCCTTCAAATTCACTTGTGCACTGTGATCCAAGGAACCTCGTGGCAGTGTGGGGTAGCTGGTTGTATCGACGATGCATTACAGCAACCCAAGATACAGTCCATCTGGAGCTGCTGATGGAAGATAGGCGACGTGGAAACTACCGTCCAACCTGGATGGGGACGAAGCAAGGCTACGTGAAATTCAATGGAAGCATAAGGAAAAATTCAACTACCAGTTCTTCATCAACGTAACGAAAAAGGGTGAATACAGCGTATATATATATATATATATATGATCTGTTGGGACTCTCGAAAACCAATTTACAAACGGAAGATACAAAATTAATTTTGAGTGAAATATTGAAAGGAACTTGACTCAAATATACTAATCATGGGCTATGCTGTTGTAGCCTTATTAGAATTTATCATCGTTTTGAGTCTTTCCTTTAATAAAAAAAATAAATACTAGAAAGCTATGAATAAAATCTGGGTTTCGGAGAATTCCTTAGTGACATATTACGACATAACTTTCCATTTCTAATGAAAAGTTGGTAGGATTGAATGTGTGATATGGTCTTACCGGAGGCCAAAGGAAGATCGCCACGCAGAAAAGACTGCTGAATTGTGCAGACAAGTCCTCAGCTCACTGTCCTGCGACTTCGATGAAACTGTGCTAAGCTTGCGTCTATACTGTGACAGACATCATCAGAGCAGGAATCTATACCTCACGAAATAGAACAAAAATATACTGAACCAGGAGAAAAGGTGGCTGGCTGCAATCATGGTCGCTCGTTTATACACATAATTATACAACCTTAATGAGGCATCCCGTGACTTGGTTGACCAACTCAAACTTACTCTACATGCTTACAAATTAGTGAAGCTATTTCAACAACCGGAAGTGCACTCAGTGGCAGCTGTTTCCTTACCCAAATAAATTAGTGTACGATCCTCCAATATTGAATCATGTTTTGGCTTGTGCTATTGTTTATTGTGTGCATGTAATATTCATGTCATGGGAAGTGTGATAGTCCTTGCTAAACTGTCACTGACTATTGAAATGTAATTTTCTACTAATCTTAATAGGTAATTGTCTTGAAGCAGTATATACCTTAAACTACAAATCTAATGATCCCTGAGGTTTACATTTGCTAGACGCAGACTCGTTGCTATCATAGGTATCCTAACAACTATTTTGACTCTATATGTATGGCTGAAGAAAAATGGATAAGGAAACTCGCGTGTGTGGGTTTCCTATACACGTCTCTTCCTATCTCATTATCTTCTTTACTCACTAATACATCCAAGAGAGGCAATTTACTTTCCTTTTTTAACTCAATTGTAAACGTATTATTGGCATCTATTCTATTTATTAGCTCAAGGAATTCACCAAAACTATCTTTGCCGTGTTGCCAAACAGCAAAGTAAACGTCCATATACCGAATTAATAATCTGGGAGCTAGGAATGCCACTTGAAAAACACGTGTTTCCAAATAGGCCATGTAGATATAAGCTGAAATAGTCGATTTTTATAGCAAATATACGTTTGCTTCATTGACAATCCCACCAAAGAATGTGATATGCTAAAAGGCCTGGCCTTCATTGAAATTGAAATCCGATCTGTGACCCAAGGTCATAGTGGTTAACGTGCCAAGCTCACATTCTGTAGTGTTTCACGGTTCGACTCCCGCTGGGGATGTTGATAAGACTGATGCGATGTCGAAACTGCAGTCTACTTCAGCCTGGATAAGAAATACTTTTGGGAAAGCAAGGCTATCTGAAATTGGATAGAAATGTTAGCTCTACTTATATCATTGTGGGAAAATTATACTACCAGTCCTTCATCACCTTAAATGAAATAGGGTGAATACATCTCATATTAACATTATAGAAGTCTATATGGGAAGAAAAGCTCGGTTTCATAGTACACTGTAGTGATTTATTGTGACACAACTAATCATTTTGATGGGAAAGTTGGTTTAAGGGATTCATGAATTTGTCTCACCAAAAGCCAAGGAAGGATTGTCCTGAAGTGAAGACTGTTTTAGTGTCCCAATCATTTCTCGTCTCACGTTCCTGAGTTTCCTATGAACCCATTAAGACTAGCAGACAATAGTCAGTGGCAGGATGACGGGAGTTTGCTATGTTGTGAC